AATGTATTTTTATCGTTATACGAAGTCTATCACAATATATTTTTGTTGTTTTACAAAGTGTAACACAATATATCAGGTAATGTTGTTTTACTAAGTGTACCACACTATGGTCTTTTGTTATTTTATGAAACATATCACAATGTGCATCATGTGTTTGCCGGAGAGAGAGGACATATAAGATTTTTAAAATACCTAAAATGCCATTAATTAAAATTGTAAGTCAAATTACCAAAATTATTAGCTTCCTAATTTAACTATTGATTTGTTTAAGAGGATTTTTTTCGGGTTTATATGAGAGATTTTAAATCATAAGTGTTAAATATCACACTTGATTCAAAATGGTCCATGTTTAAATTTTACATATTTTCAAAATTCTGCTTTTATAGAATATCAAATATTCATATGTGAATAAAATCATAACATCATACGTAATTGTTTGATCAACGCTTTAAACTCTCCATGTCTTTTTTCTTCTGAAAAGGGTAAAAACAAGTTAGAAAAATGTATACAAGAATGGGTGGGGTCAGGGATCTTGATAATCTTAGGGGCTGTTTGGCAATTGCTGAATGATTTGGTGCTGAATGATTGAGAGACTCTCATGATATAGTGCAAAATGAAATATAATTGTTTGGTAATTGTGTACAATGAAATTAGGGCTCTTAATGGTTAAGGGAGATCCATGATACAAAATCATTCAAAAGGTTTTAGAACCACTAAGAGACAAATTTTTTTTTTTTTGACAAACAAGATTCACCTCTTAACGGTTCAGAGGTTGCCTCTTAATGGAACTATTAAGAGGTAAACAAACAACCCCTTATTCTCATCCCTAATTACACCGCTTGCAAAGATGAGTAATCCCTTTTGATTTCTTTTATAAATTCAATGGCATATTTAAGATTTTAACGAAGTTCGTTGAACTCTAGTATAAATATCTACTTCTTCTGATCTCCTACAATTCGTCCATTGCTACAAACACAGTATCATTGACTGTACTCCTCTTAGCTTTTCTCCGAAGCAATTTCACTTTTTGGCATTGGCAAAACTTAACCGACCAATTGCTAAACTTTCGGTTCACATCTGAATAAAATTTAGGTCATGATGCACTTTGTTGTTAGAGTAACGTCACGCTGGGCTTTCTTCAAATTTATATTATTCACCTTCATGTATTAATAACTGACATACCGATTATTTCTGTACTGCCAAACTCATGTTTTTAAGTGCTTATGACTTACGGATTAATGAATGGTTGTGAAGAGAAGTTCCACAATTCGGTTATGAAGACAGAGAAATGATATTTTGAAGTTTTCCAAAGCAGTAGGCATGATTGGAACTTATGGCCAAAGAGCTGTTAGGGGATCATTATACGCATTAATGTAAAACTGTAGCTTTTGGCAAATCTGGAGGTATAGATATATGTCTTTATCACTGTCTGTTATCTGCCAAACAGAGGAATCTCCATTTATCATATATCGTCTTTATATTCATCATAAGGCACTCAAAAGTAAGATTTAGAATATGATATATCTAGACCTTATTTCTACATCAAAGGAAAGAAGAAAAAACAAAGGCGAGTGATTTGGTATCCAACTCAGTATTATTTGTCATTCAACCTAATTTCATCTTATCACTCGCCACATCAGCATGGTAACCGGTTAATACTTCAACCAATTACCCGAGTACTTAAATGTTTAAAATTTTATATCTTAGGTACCAAAATATGAATCAAGTTAAAGTACTTTATTTTTTAATGCAATTTGCTCTAAAATAAACAACATTTAGTGTATCAAATGAGGATTTGGCTTATATTTACATTAAAAGGGCGTTTTGGATTGCTTATTTGAAACAATTTATGTTATTCTACAAAAATTCTTATCAACTTATTATAAGTTAGGATGATTTAACTTCTTCAAAAACTCCTTATTACCGGTTTGACACTGGTATAAGCTGTATAACCAAACACTCAAAAGTATTTATTACTGGTGTCACACCGGAATAAGTCAATAAGTTATTTTTATAAGCAATTTCAAACACCCCCAAACTTTATCTTTTTAATTCAATTAATTTTACATAAAAATTGGAAGATTTTTTTTATTGGAAAATGACCTATTTTCAATGAAATTGTATTTTATGACTCGTTTTTCTTATATTTTGAATAATTTACATACAATTGTGTATAAATAAATAATTTACATATATTATGTTCATGATTTTTCAAATTAAAAAAAACATAAATAATTTGATTAAATTACTGACGAATTAACGATAAAATTTAACTAAATACACAATTAAATTAAAATTTGTCGCTAATCTATCTGTAAAATGATATTACCAACAAGATTTAAGCACGATCTTTCACACTTATTAACATGTTACTATGTTAGAGCGTATGACGGTGGTCAAGTTAACATCAATTAGATTTAAATAATTTGTGTATATATACCAATGAACACTATCGACAAATTTTAATTAATTATATATTTAATTAAATTTTATCGTTAATCCATCAATAATTTAATCAAATTATTTTCTATTTTTTTAATTTAAAAAATCATCAACTTAATATATTTTATTTTTAATTAAATAAAATCTTTTTATTTTTTTAATTTGAAAAATTATATATGAAATTTAAAGAAAAGAAACTCGTGTCCCCACGCGCTTCTTGTACGTATATATACTCGCCATTTCCTGCCGCGTATTCCCTCCGTCGTCGTCGTCATCTTCGTCAAACCGCAGTTACCGCACCATGACAAACGAACTAAACCAGAATGAAAGCAACCCTAATCGTTACGTTTTCTTCAATTTGTTTCTATAACACTACTGATCTCTCTAACAACTTAATCAAATAATCCATTAATGGAGATGGGGATGGGGATGGATATGGGTAACGTGGTTCTCAACATGCTCCGTCCTCGAATATCAAATATTATATATATATATATATATATATATATATATA